GCAATTATGGATGGTACTAGCATAGGTGGGTGCATTTTCGTGTATTAGTCTGTGCATATTGCGTCGTTTTCCGTTTCTAAAAAAACAAATTTGTGCCTGTATTCGTCTGTGCATTTTACGACCTATATGTTAGGGGTGGTTGTGAGCCTCATAAACGTCATAGAGGGCGAACCGTGGTTGCATATTAGCTAGTGCAACCCTTCCGGCTTTACTACACCTTATTTATAAATTCGGACGGTATGAGGTGTGTGCGTCAACCTATAATAGTCTGTGCATTTCGTCTGGTTTCTCGTTCTTCATATTTATGTTGTTGGGTCGTTCAAAATAGATGTTAGGGCTGGCTGTGTGCCTCAGAAACATCGTATAGGTCGAACCGTGGGTGCATATTAGCTAGTGCAACCCTTACGGCTTTATTACACATTATGTAAAAACCTAGACTGTAAGTGGCTTGTACGTCGACTTAAAATACGACTTAAAATAGTTATAATTTAAATACTTATAGATTTCTATATGTTATCTATAAAATATATTGGTAAATTACGTATAGATTTTAGTAATTTACATACGTATTTTTTATTGATAAATGTTTTTTTTTCAAATGTTGTAGTTGACATATGACCCACTAATGTGTACACATTAGTGGGTATCCCCTTCCCTTATAAATAAAAAAAATGTGTACACAAAAATGTTACTAAACAACCTAACAAAAAAAATGAAATTGAGTCCCCAAAGAAGTGAAAAATGCAAATTGCGTTAGTTTGATATTTGGTTTATTAATTACAAGGTTTTAAATTTGACTCTTTATATGAGCTATTTATTAATCTTCTTGATTTGAACTGATCAGCTATAGAGCATCCATTTATTTAGCGACTATTAGCTTTCTCGTAAATTATTAAAGTACAATTGATTCCCATAATAAGTAAAAAAATATTAATTTTAATGTAGTTTATAAATATTTAAATTCTGTATACTAATATTAAATTTAATATTATAAAAATTTGAATTAAAAATAATTAATTATGTCTCGTTAACTGAACCAACAAAAAAATGAGAAGGGAAGAGTAATAATTAACCGTGATCCATAATATAAATTGCAAAGTTTATCAAGCAACAGAAGTTTATTTTCAAAATATTATAATAATGAATCATGTACTTAATATATTTCAGTTGTTATACAATGAACCATGTTGTCTACCATGATCGTCGAATGAAACTGTACTAGAATTGAAATAATACTTTACTGTTACTATAATAAAACTAAAAGCAAAGCACATTATCGTCAAATAATTGTATTATAATTAAAATGATACGTTAGTATTGCTATAATGAAACTAGTGTGGATGAAAAATGAAACTAAAAAACATAGCAATATCGTCAAATGAAGTGTAATTAAAATGATACATACTTGATTAGGAGATTAGGGTTTCTCTAATTCTTTCTCGTCTTTAGTATTCTATACGGCCGCCGCCTTAGTGAAGCAAGCGGATCGGAGGCGACGTCCGATCGTCTTGCCCTGTTGTCATCTCCACCGCAGACAACGTCCGCCTTCATCGTTTTCTCATTCATCTCCACTGCTACCGGTCGTTACTCTCTTATTTTCGCACTGTTGTTTCCCTTTGCTTTGTTTTACTGGTTTAATTTTGTTTGCAGTTTCTGTATTTTTCCTCTCGTTGTTTTGATGAGTTTCTTTTTCATAAAGCGTGAAACAATAAAACTGGTCATGGTGTATGTGAATCTCAACCTGGGTGACAAACATGACAATGAAAAAGAAACTCCTCTGAACTATGATATGCAGTTTAACCAGATGGAGATATTGTCAATGTATAGAAAAATGGAAATAGATACTCAGGTGGTGTGCAAGGCTATTCGACCAATGTCACTCTTGGATACATTTGACCATTCCATCAATCTTTATTATAAACGTTTCAACCTATAATTAATGAATTAGATTCTTTATTTTCAAAAAATAAAAATAAAAATGATACATACTTAATGGTCGACAATAAAATTTGCCATTAAACATTTAAACCTTGTGTAGCATTGCTTCAACTAAATTTGGGCTCGAGTCCATGTTGTAGGCCATGCCAGGTTAGTTGAGGTTATTGCTTTGGGTTTGAAAGTGGCCTGGCCCAATAATTGTGAGTTCTTTAAACTAGGGTTTTCAGAGTAGACATATACTCCTCTGCAACCGAGGGTTTTCGGCTGGCATAATTCTCAGCACGAGAGACAGAGAGAGAGTTATCGAGATACCATGAAGACTATACTCTCCTCAGATTCCATGGACATCCCTGACGGGGTGAAAATCAAGGTGAAAGCCAAGCAAATTGAGGTGGAAGGTCCCAGAGGTACACTCACCCGTAACTTCAAGCACCTCAACCTGGATTTCCAGCTCATTACCGATGAGGCCACCGGAAAACGGAAGCTTAAGGTCGACGCCTGGTTCGGATCACGGAAGACCACTGCTGCTATTCGCACCGCCCTCAGCCACGTCGACAACCTCATCACCGGCGTTACCAAGGGCTTCCGCTACAAGATGCGCTTTGTCTACGCTCACTTTCCCATCAATGCCTCCATCACTAACACTAATAAGTCCATTGAGATCCGAAATTTCCTTGGAGAGAAGAAGGTAACCGCATTTCTTCATTCCTACCTAAAATGAAGATGCTCAATAATCCATTTTTATGTTTTTATTTTTTGTATATTTCTTTGTGTATTGCAATGTTTAATTTAATTAATTGAAATGATGCAATGTTATGATTCCTATATGTCAGGATTAAGAATCCGGATATATTTCGTTCTGTATATTTTGATGTTGTTAACTTGATTTTGCTCAAGTCTTAATTGATTGGTTGATATAATATAAACCTTAATTTGTAGTCATGAATTGGTGTTTGATTGAGCATTGGACTTGTTCATTTAAACTGCTACATGGTGTCATGCTCTACAGATGGATGCATTGATTTGGTTGATTGGTGCTCTACATTGAATTCCAATGTGGTTTGATACACTTGTATACTTAACAAGTAGGGTAGTATATATGTATAATGCAATAAGAAGAAGCTTTATATGTCTAGTTTTGTACTGTAAATTGGACTGTTTTTGGTTGTCATGAGTTTTTGTTCCTTGATTTAAAGTGTGAATGCAGTTATGGGGTGATCTTTTGCTTCTCTGCTTTTGTAAGCTCTGTCCTTATATTTTATAAGTATGAAATAAAATCTATGTCAAAGTATCTCTCTACTTTTGCTAATAAGTTGGCATTGAGAGTGAGTTTTGTTGGACATAAGTTTGTCAGTGTTATCCTTGTATATTTGTATGTCTATGAATGAAAGATTTCCTTTTTAATTTTAATAAAAAATAAAAATTATGACATGTATATTTACTTTTTCTTTATGACCCATTTTGGGTTCCAGTTATCATCTTTTTATATGCTAGTTAGCTTCATGAATTTATGAATATTATGGAGTATTACACTGGTGATTTGAAACTTTAACCATTTTTTGTCGTTACTTCAGGTCAGGAAAGTGGACATGCTTGAAGGGGTTTCTGTTGTCCGCTCTGAAAAAGTGAAGGATGAATTGGTATTGGACGGGAATGATATTGAGCTTGTGTCTCGCTCATGCGCACTTATTAACCAGGTAAATAACCTCTCTATTATATGATTGTGTCTTTAAGCATATTCCATTAATGCAAGATTGAAGTATCTCTTGATACTTCTGTGAAGTTTAAACTTAAAACTTATTTTGTGTTCTAAGTTGATTGTTTTGCTGAAATTCCCTCCCTTCTACTTTTCTCTGTACAGAAATGCCATGTCAAGAACAAGGATATCCGAAAGTTCCTCGATGGTATCTATGTGAGTGAGAAAGGCAAAATTGAGGAGGAAGAATAAACCCCCATATAGCCTTCTAGTTTATCTGTCACCTTTTTATCTTGAGTATTTGCTCCTTAATTTTGATTGTCTATTTGTAGACTTGCTATGGAGTTAAATTCAAAGATTTTTTTGTTTTGTTTTGAGGACATGGACTCACTAGTAGTACTATCATCTTATCTATGATATTTTAAAGCATTCATTCAAAGTTTTAATGATAATTTGGGCATTTTTTAATTTTCTGTGATAGTCCTAGTACAACTATTAGCTGTCCTTGTGTCTATGTGGTCTTGAATTTCTAGCATGCCTAACTATCACTGTTTTTTATTTTTATTTTTCTCTTCATACTGCTTTTTCGACCTGGGGTACATAAATTCGAAATCTCCATCTCTTAAGTGACTTGGCATTTGGTATTTGTGGTCCATTTTGACATATTTGCCATGTTAGTTTGCATTAATCTTAATAAGTTATTTGTGACTACTCATGTCTGGGGAAGGTCGTATGATTAATACTGTCAGTTTCTTGGGGCCCAAATCAGTTAGGTTCACAAACTTCTAATTGTTTAGGTGTCAGTGACAGACAGTGATTGACCTTCAATAATTTGTTCAAAGAAGGGAAGATTAGGTATTATCCTTTAGTCGACAGGTTATGGTTTCGTATGATACACGTTGATATCTTGTGAACTATAGTGTATCAATTGTACAAATAAAAAATATTTGCTGGGCCAATGTGTATAGATAAGGAATAATGTTATTTAATTCCGGCGTACAATAGATTGTGCACTCTGGCCCAAAACGACGTTGTTTTGTACCTCGTGTCTGCGGTTAACTTTTTTTAAAAAAATTTATGTTTCGAATGTATATAATTTTATAATAAAATATACATAATTGTATAACATAATACACATGGGTTCTGTTTGGTAAAATAGATAGCGTATAGGTCAATTTTAGCTTATTTTGTCATGTTTACAAATCAATAAAAGTGTTTGGTTAATTAGTTATCCCCAACTTTTTCAATTAGCTAATTAATGCATTGTGTGTCTTGATGCACGCTATAAATAATATATAATGATGATCTATTTCATGAACCAAAAATGATCGTAGGATTGGGACTAGTTAAGTACTCCGTAATAAATTGTCATGCATGAATTGATAGTGGGACAGTCTTGTTTTGGAGGCCTGCGATTTTGGCCTCTTTTTTCATCCTGAGCAATTGCTTTCTTGGTTCTCCATGTTGTCCTTCCAGTTCTTGATATCTTCCACGCAACAAGCTTTCTACACATTCCATTAATGGCGGCTTTCATCTTTTTCTTTCTTCTGTTATTCGTTGCATCCCCCGATTTAGTCCTTTCCCGTGACGAAAATGGACCGGTAATCAATGTTACCAAGCACATATCTTTCCCAGATTTCAGCTCCAAAAATCCAAGAATTCCCCAAGATGTTTCTCTCCTGGGCAGTGCAGCCATTTCAAGCGAACAGTCTTGTCTCCAGATTCCGAAACCCTCCCAAACCACCGATCTGAAACACCTCGCCGGCCGAGCAATCTATTCCTCCCCCATCCGCCTCTTCGACCCCGTCACTCAAACTCCGGCGTCCTTTCAAACCACCTTCTCGTTTCAGTTTCAAGCTCCTCCGAATACTTCCGTTAAAACCCAGCATTTGGATCCCGACGACGACGTCATCAATGGCGGCAGTGGGTTAACTTTTATCATAGTCCCCGATGAGTTCACCGTCGGCCGGTCCGGCCCCTGGCTAGGCATGCTCAACGACGTCTGCGACGACAATTATAAGTCCGTCGCCATTGAGTTCGACACGCGCCGGAACCCGGAGTTCGGTGACCCGAACGACAACCACGTCGGCATCAACCTCGGAAGCATCGTTTCGACTGCCGCCGTCAACGCCTCCGACGCCGGAATCGTTCTCAACGACGGCTCCGTTCACCGCGCGTGGATATCCTACGACGGCCAACTCCGCCTCATTGAAATCCGGCTCGGCGCCGACAACAATGGCTTCCCTTCTAAACCGGTTTATTCCGGTTCCCTTGACCTCTCCCCTTACTTGAACGAATACATGTTCGTCGGCTTCTCCGCTTCCACCGGCAACCATACCCAAATCCACAACGTTATATCATGGAACTTCACGTCCACCAGCAAAGCTTCTCTTCGGATTCCCTCATCGGAAACCTGCGAGAGCAAAATAATCCAACAAAGAACCGATAATAATGAAGAAGAAGAGAAAGGGCGGCATGAAAAAACGCCGACGAGTTTCTTGATTTTCATTGCTGTGTTTATTCTTCTCGTCGCCGTTTTACTCAGTCTTTACTTCAACCGGAAGAAGAAAAAAGACGACAAATCGAATGATTTAGCGGCGCAGCCGGAGAAGAAGACAAAACTGGGCCCACCCAACAAGTCTCGCCGGTTTACGTTCACCGAAATCTCCTCCGCAACTCGGAGTTTCAGCGAGTTACAGATACTGGGTAGTGACGCGAGGAGCATTACGTACAAAGGGACTCCCTGGCACGGGTGCCACGTGGCGGTGAAACGTTACTCGGCGAAGTTTTTCGGCTCCGGCGGGTTTGATCGGCGGCGAATGCACAAGGAGATTAAAGGCGTCGCGAAAATCCGGCACCCCAATTTGGTTCCGATCAGAGGGTGGTGTTTCGACAACCAAGAAACCATCGTCGTGTACGATTACATCCCCAACGGAAGCCTCGACAAATGGCTGTTCGGCGGCGGCGTTTTGCCGTGGACGCGGCGGTTCAAAGTCGTGAAAGACGTGGCGGACGCGCTGAGTTATCTCCACTCGCGGCAACTCGCGCATAAGAACGTGAAAGCCAGTAGCGTTTTCCTGGACGTTAGCTTTAGAGCGGTGGTGGGAGATTTCGGGTTCGTTCTCTCCTCCGTCGAGTCAACTCGGTTCGAATCGGTGGTGAGTCAAACGGCGGACGTGTTCGAGTTCGGGGTGTTAGTGCTAGAGATCATCTCCGGCCGGTTCAGGAAGTCCAAACCGGGCGAGTTGGACCTGTTAGATATGGCGTGGGCATTGCACGAGGATGGGGAGAAACAAAAGCTGGTGGACCGGCGGATGGGGGCGGTTGTGAACATGGACCAGGCGGTCCGAGTTTTGGAAATCGGGTTGCTTTGTACGTTGAACCAGAACAAAGGCCGGCCCAGCATGGAAGAAGTGGTGGAGTTTCTAAACGTGGAAAAACCGATGCCCGAGTTGCCAACGAGCCGACCGGTATCATTGTTCCCCTACAACAGCACCACAGGTTTGTGCCATGGTTACGCCTGTTCACCATTCAAGTGAAGCCACGTGTGATTAGTTAATTATCAAATCCATTTTATGATTTGAACCAAAATAAGAAAACGTTTGTGTTTGTATGGGGTGGTGAAGTTGTATCTTTTATTTGCTTATAAAAATATTAATAAGATAGTATAATGTCATCACTGCAAATTATACGTGGTCCAAAAATGATATTCAGATTCTGTATCTATAATTGACACATTCTGTATATAATTTCTGTACCTGTAAGTATCATATTATATGTCAGTAATTATCAAGTTATATTCTGTATCTATAATTGACTCATTTTGTACTCGCAGTCGATTGTTTATGTACCTGTAGTTATCATATTCTGCCAACTATTATTAAGTTATTTGTTTACATGTATAGAAACTGTTAACGGTAGGTACACGATATGTTAATGAAAGTATAAAATTATTGTATCAAGATTTACAATGCAATATGAATCCTGGGTCATGGTATAACAATTGTGTCATCACTTGATAGGTTTAGGCTCATTAAAGATTTTGAGTATTCAATTATATTAGGAGTAATTATTGGACCTTTATAAAGATGAAGAATTACGTCATTTGGCGCATTATTGCTTAAAGCATGAAATGATTAGCTTTGTTAATGTTCTGCTTATACCAACTTTGTTTGGGGATTGTAAAATATGTGGTCAATGGGAGTTGAGGATTGCTTATACCTATTGAGAACAAAACAAAGTTATGAATTTCCTAACTACCGCCGTGTCCAATTGTCCATGTAGCATGCCGAGAATCTGAGGATTCTTCCTTGGTTGACTGCTTTTCTTCAGAACATTTTGCTTCAAGTTAGGTCGAGTGTACCAAAAAACGAGGTTGTTGCATACTTGTGTAGTTAGTATGGTATATTATCAGTTTTTGGACACCTTTTCAACAATTAAACCCAAAGGAAATTTTATTTTAGTGATAATTTTACAATAGTGTACTCTATAACTATATCTACCTTTCCTTTTATTAAAAAAAAAAAAAGTAAGAACAAGAAATTCAATAAAATTGAATATAGTAGTAGTATATTGTGTTGGTATTAAACTTGTGGCGTGTTAACCATAAGCTTGTTTGGGATAAAAGCAGGCTCCATGTGGCAGTCCAACAACACTGGATTGGGCTGAACAGCCTCAACTATTGCAAGAATACTAGTTCCCAACCATAATACAACCTCTTGGTTAGTTGACAAACAAACGAAAAATATTTGGTTCAACTCATCATCAGTCTTTCAATAAAATCTTGCATGGAATTAAGATTCAATAAAATCTCAATGTAATCCTTAAATTTTTTGTTTTGTACCGAATAGTAACATGTATAAAATTAATACATTTACCATTCACTTTAGGGAGGTATCGAATATTAAAAAGATTACAATTTCAATCGACATATTAGAATCCACCATTCCCTCCCCCTCCCCCTCCCCCATACACACACACACATATCATATTATAACAATAAAAGATGTGTTAGTAATATTTTTTGGCAAAATGATTGATGGTGTAAATTGACTAGGTTGGATAATAATGATGATTCACAAATTAAATTTTGAAATATTACGTCTATTCTAGCAATGCCAATTTATTAGTAATTAATTTGATTAGTCAGGTTGAACTAGCCAAGTTTCTGAACAGAATTCTTAATAATGGTTGAGATATGGAGCTCAATTGTATAATAGTGACTTGAATCTCTTAAGATAACCCTATGTATAATAGCGGTCTACTGGAATTTAAATTTGTAATCATATCATATAGTTATAATAAAGTCGACAATTTGATTAATTTAAGTAAGGTGGGCCCCATTGTATTTATTTGTCCACCATTCAATATGAAGCTGATAGGACAAGAAAGGTAATAACTAACAAGGGGATGTGTTCAACGATTCCAACTAACAAGGACACCAAATTTTGCGTCCACAACGACGATTGTGCAGAACCGTTCACAAATCAAATTCATACATTCTCTGCTATAAATCATCTGCCATTTCCATTCTCACAAACCAGCCTCAAAAATCAAATCACTAATAATAAAAAAACAATAAAAACAACAACATTCCCCGTTTCTGATCCTCTCGTCCTCTTTCTCTCTCTCTCTCTCTCTCTTCCAAACATGGGAGCCTGCACGAGCAAACCCCAGGAATTCGACAAGAAACGAATCCCTCCGGTTGCTCCACCCACTCCCAGAAAACCCGACCCGGAAACCCTCCCCCGGGAGGAGGACGAGAAAGCGAGCGAGACAAAGCAGGAAGAGTCGCCGGCGGTGGAACCTTCAGATTCAGCTGACGACGAGGTAACCGCCGCCGACGGCGTTGTTCCGGAGAAGGAGGAAGCCGCCGTGGAAAAACCCGCCGGAGAAGCCATTAACGAGAAGACGGTTGCGGAGGAGAAGACAATATCTGATGTTGTTATTAACAACACCACAATTACAGAGGAAGAGATCAAAGCCCAAATCCCCGTCGTTGAAGTACGTTAACGTTTCTATATATAATATACTAAATGGAATTTTTTTTATTTTTTAAATTTGATTTCTTGAGGCTGTTGTAACAATATTCTTTGGTTTCTAAGAAAAAAAAATGCAACAATAAAAACAGAAAATGCAACTCAAATGCAATGATTCTTTATTTCTCCGTATATTTTGATCATATAATCATGGAATTATAAAAAAAAGAAGAAGCTAAAAGACATGGAAATCAAAATCAACTGTGTACTAATCAAGCAAAGACAATTGATTGTGACATGTTCAAATAGTATAAAACACAAAACCAAAAGACAAATCAATGGAGTTACACAGCAAACAAAATTCCACACAAGCAAACATGATCTTCAACAAGCATATATACAACTTTGTATTTGTCACTTGAAAGCTACGGCTACGTGGCCGAAACGTAGACATAATTCGTGAGTACGGTAAATCATAAATGTGCAGTCTTACTATTAATTTAGAAAATAAAAACTGCTATGGGGCGGGATTAGACGAAGCGGACATAAAACCATCATCCTTGGACACTCCTCCCTCCTCAACCTTTTTGTAATCATCTTTTACAGCTAATAAAACCAGAAGAGCCAGTAGAGGATAACTTATTGTTGTGAGTCCCCAGTTCACAATCAACTGTGTAAGAAAAGGCACTTTTCTGGCATCAACTTGCCAAGCAACAGCTCCCCCTGCACTCTGAACCCCCTTGTAGAAACCATTATACCTGAAACATCAAAAGTTTCTCAGAATTCATGCTAGCAATACTACCATTATACCTGACTCATTCACCCTTAACCAAAGGTCAAGGGTTCGATCATTGACCTTGGGAATGGAACAGCCTAGACCAACTGTTCCAACCAAAAGAGGTGCCTACAATTCACGCCTTCTGACCCTAACTGGCTGGCAAAAGAAACCAGCCTAGGTTGTCTATGGTTCAAACCAAGACCAATAAGCGGCTCTCAAATAAAACTAGCCTAGTTTCTCTTGTAACCTTGTGGTTACCGAGCAAACAGTCTGACCAACTTGGCTGGTTCCCGCTAAAGATGCAAATGTTGTATGATTGATTGTAGTACCTGCTAAGGATCTCAGAATCATCTGCTAAGGCTCCAATGACCCAGTACACCATACTCTGGAACATGGCATCAAGTAAGCCATAGCTAAAGTACAACACAAATCTCCCTGCAAAATCCGACCCATCCTTGAAATCCAGCTTGTTATCAGGCATATCATCGCGGGAATACTTAACCTGACTTGCAAGCCCTCCTGCCCAAATTGCAGTTCCAAGAATGGCAACAACTGTGATCCCCACCAATCCCCTAGTCCTTCTACTCTTGAAGCTGAAATCCATTATGAACCCAATGAACACTGACCCAACCATCTGTGCACCCCAGTAGAACACATTGTTAAAACCTCTGGTTCTCACATTAAACAACGCAGCATTCACATTGGTAAACTGATAGCTATAGAAGAAATTGCTGCCCCAAGAAGCAGGAACCAGCAATAGCATCTTCCAGTTCAGAAAGAGCTTCAAAATCTCCCTGGATTCGACTCTCACGCTGGAGTATTTGATGTTAGTACAAGTCGATCCATCGTCGCGGATGACGCGACTGGGGTGGAGAATCGCCAGTGAAAGAACAGTGCCGATGGACATGAAGATCATGAATCCAATGTAAGTTCCATCGTTGACAGAAACAGCATCTGTGCGATGATAATTCATTATGAAGGGGATAAGCCCACCAACCACACCGCCCATATTGAAAATGCTCCAGAACAGAGAGATGTAGGTTCCTTTCCGGTCATGGGGCGGGTATGACGTCATGATGGCTCCCTGCGCCGCCCATAGAAGTCCGGCTCCGATGCCGAGGAACGCGCCGGCGACGATGGCGAAGGCCTGGTGCTTGAAGTGGTTGTAGTAGAGGAAAGCGCCGGCGTAGAGGACATACGTCGAACACCCGGCGAACAGTGTGAGGTGGGGGCCCAGGATGTTGTAAATCCCTCCGCCCAACACCCCGAAGACGGAGAAGGTGGTGTACAGGGCGGTGTTGGCGTTGTTGGCCGCCGTCGGATCCACCTGACCGCCGGCGCCCATTCCGCTTAGGGCATTGAACATCCCAGGACAGCAGAAGCAGACCAGACCGATCAATATAACCTGAACCAGAGGCGAATTGTACCTCAGAACCAACTTCCTCAGAGGCGTCTCCGGTGACTCTTCGACCTTCGTTTCATCTTTCTGCGCAGCCATGGCGGAAAATGAAGGATTTTGGAGATTTTAATCCGATGAAATGGCAGTACTGAGTCCTTATAAGAGGATGTGGTTCAAACGTTGAAATACAATCAATCTTTCATGTGGAGTATTTGTAGGCGTTTGGCAAGTGATAAGAGTACCTGACAAGGTTTATTATAAAATATAAATTATTTTGGAGAATTCACTATGCTATTGAAATGCCGGAATTAAAAAAAAGAAAAAATAAAACTAACTTAAAATTATATATATATATATATATATATATATATATATATATATATATATATATATATATATATATATATATATATATAATCTTGAACTCACAAAGATTTATTTGGCAATTAGCTGTTAGCCGATTGTATTAGTGATTATCAGATAGCTGATCGCATTAGCATATTGTATTAGTAATTTGTAAAAAAAAAAAGATTAAATTAACTGTTTAGATTAACGGTTAACATGTATAA